GAATTGGTTTTCTTGGTTGTTTGCTTTTTCTTTTTTTTTTTTGGGCAATAGTAACAAATTCTAAGAATTATTGTAAAAAATTATTTCCTTTTAATTGACAATTTTCATGTAAAACAAAACCAAATGAAAAAAAAAAAAAAAAAAAACTTTAATTTAAAATGGATTCCCAAAAATTTAAAAAGCAAGCAAAAGTAGTCTAATAGAAAGAAGGAAGACTAAAATACTTACGTCTCCTTTTGGCATCATAGTAATTTTTGTACAGACTTCATCATTGTCTTTTTTCGCCTACAGAACAAAATAATTTATAAACGACAAAAGTTCTCTAACTTAATTCACTACTGAACCATTTTTAGTTGCTAATATAGGAAATATTAACGTTAGATATGCTCCTGGTGGAGAATTAGGGCTGGATATAGTCTAGTTCGGTTCGATTCTAACGAAAATCGAACAGGACCGAAAATTTTCGGGTATTTAGTAATTAAAATCGTCGGTTCCAAATTTAATTATGAAATCGTTCAAGTTCGTTTCAGTTTGGACTGATTCCAATCGGTTCCAGGTTTTCGTACTGTAATTAAATTGTTTAAATTTGGAATCTTCTTTATACGAAGTTAGCATCCTCTCAACTTGCCTCATTCTCTTCACCATCCTTGGATTAAGCAAGTAGTGCAAGATGACATGTGCCTCATTAGTGACAATCTTCTTGGTCAACCCAGAAATCCCATCCAATTCTGGTTGTATACTCCAAGAAATGAAAATGGAGACTGATGAAGCTGAATTCTCTATATCCAAAAGCATACTGCTATATTTTTTCATCATAATGTTTGTTGTCTTCTACGAGAGTTTGATCATGATTAGATGCAAAAGACTTGTTTACATTATTGGGGTTTGATTTTGAATAAACACCTTCTCGGACTTCCACAAGTTTCAACTCTCCCTCTTGCTGCAGTTAATGTGGATGTATCAACTTTGACTTTAAGATTATCTTTCACAGCACCGGAATCACTCAAAGCTATAGAAGGTCTAGGCATGCTTCCAACTGGCTTAACTGAATGGGCACTCAATGGGCACTCAAACTCTTGTCCTCAATATTACCTTCATCGACAGCTTCTATAGGTCTTGTTATTTCGGCAGAGCTCAGGTCCAGAGGAAGCTTACGCTGAATATATGTATGATCTTTGAAATCTTCAATTGGATTATATACTTCCGATATATTTGCAGAAAGAAAATGAATATTTTCCTGATCATTCTCAGATTTACATACCTTAATCGACTTGTGATCACTTTCACCATTTATATCTTTGGCACAATCAGCATCCCTTTTTACCTCAACAAGGGAATCCACTTTTTCATTTCTTTCATTTTGAGTATAAACTTTATGTTTGACCACTTCAGGATCCAACTTACCACAAAGTTTTTCCCTCTATCCTCTACTATTACATTAGGATCTGAAGTTTTTCCTTCTTGAGAGTCTAATGCCACGGACTCTAAGCTTTTCGGACACGTCTCATTTTCCCCCTTCAGCATCTACAAACTCTCTAGCACTCACTGGCTCTTGCTGTATTTTCTGTTACCATCTTCATTTATATTAATTGCGATTATATCAGTCTGGCTCTCAGATTTGATAGGATTATGATGTATATTGTTAATGAATCCAGTAGTCATTCAGTAGAAACTGCTTCAGATGTAGTATCACTTGGTGGGACAATACTCTCCTCTTCCAATTCCTCCTATTGTTCCCCTTTAGAGGCTGATTTAAGCTCAATTCAGTCATCATTGAAATTAGTAGATCATGCATCCTATTAATTTCTTCCATTATGCTATCCAATCGAGAGACATCCAAGGATTGTAACTGCTCTGATACCATTGTTATAGAATTTGGAAGAGTCAGACCCCAAAAGTTAGTTATTGAGGTTGGAGAATTCAAACCTATATAAACAACATAAAGGAAGTCCATACTTTCGATGTGGGATTCAGGTACTCATACATTCCAATGAGGAAGTGGGTTTGTGCTTGAGAAGAGAAGACAAACTAGGGAAATAAAATTAATGAAAGAAATAGTAGATGGGCACACATTGTTAGAAACACTGGAACAGAGTAAAGTAAAGGTGTGGCTTCACAAACAAACATTAATGCAAATGGTACAAGCAAATAGTAAAATGGCAGCACGATTTGTTTTGAAATTTGAACATTAAGCAAACTGACACGAAATAGATAAATAAATAAAAATAGAGTCAAATAGGAAAAAAAAAATGATTTTTTTTTTTTAAAGTGGCACACTTCCATAGGGGGTTAATTACATGAATGGTTATTATACTTTGCCATATGTTACTACTTAATAATTGAACTTGAAAATGTATTTCAATAATCACTAAATTCGCTAAGTGTTACTACTTCATAACTGAACTTAAAAATGTATCTCAATGATCACTAAGCTATGCACCGTATTATCACTCAAATGGAAAAATCCGTTAATTTCAATAAACGGCGTTGACGTGACTAATAGATTGGTACATTGACACTAATTCGAACATTTTTATATTTTATTTTTATTTTTTCTCCGTCATTTTGTTTCAGTGTTCATGCTATTCCCTTTCACTCTTTTTATACGAAGTTCGAAATACTGTTAACTGATACAAGTTGATCTAAAAATCAGACATACTTTTTATCGTGATGGAGACTATATATCGAATAAAAATAAAACTATTTTCCCTTCATTTTCTTTGTTTCTTCTTTCACAAAGGTCGATTTGAGGAAAAAAGAAATTATTACTACTTAATAATCGAACTTAAAAATATATCTCAATGGTCACTAAATTTCGCCAAGTATTACTACTTCATAACTAAACTAAAAAATGTATCACAATGGTCACTGAACTATGTATCGTGTTACCCATCCATCACTCAAGTCGACATCATTTGTTGAACTAAATAGGTTTTTCCATTTAATTGATGGATATGTAATGCGGTCCATTGTTTAGTGATCATTAAGATACATTTTTAAGTTCAGTCATGAAGTAGTAACATTTGACGAAGTTTAATGATCATTGAGATATATTTTGAAGTTTAGTTATTAAGTAGTAACATATGACAAAGTTCAGTAACCATTCATGTAATTAACCCTCCATAGGGACGTTGCCATGGAAACTCGATAGATTATCCAAGTATATCCAAGTAAGCCTCTTTATTTTTAATTCATTAGTTCAGAATGAATCAATTCTTTTCAAATAAGATCTGAACCTACAACCTATTGTTTAACAGCCAACCATTCCACCACTTAACTACTGAGGAACAATACGAGATTACAACTTCTTGTTATTTCAATGACCAATACCCAAAAACTTCTTTATAGTAGTCTCCCGTGTCTCGATTTAAAGGAAACTTTAAAGCGACTTTATTTCATCATTATATTCCATCAATATCCTAATTTTATTCATTTAATACCCCTTTGGTGTTATTAACATATGTATTTTTTTTATAGTCTAGCATTTGATTTGTATCTAAAGTTGGCCTTCTCAGCAGAGACCAGGTTTATATTTCTTTCAATGATCACTTCAGATGCATGTTAATAAAGTAGGGTGTCTCCATAACCTAGGCTCATTTCCTGTAGTGATCGTGGACTCACAAAAGGATGTTGAGTAGAAGGTTGATGTAAAAACTCGATCCTATCTTTCATAGCATGCATTCACATCTGCGTTTCAACTGATTTGGTAATCTATATGTCCAGTGCACGGAAAACTTGTCCTCAAAATTGACTTGCTCTGGAAGTTGGAATCTTCCAACCGCCCAACGATCCTAAAGCTAGTCACTACGTCCATTAGGATTAGGAAGCAAAATTCACAAGCCAAACGACAAAAAACAAACAGAATTTGCTTCACATGCTAATGGGGCAGTTCTCTCCACTTTACCTAATTTATATTTTAATTCTTTTTATCTTGTATAAAATATAGAATTTGAATTTACTTTTCAAGGAATTGATACATGAACTATTTGCTATACTTTTGTGTTTGTTTGGCAATTTTATTGCACAATATTTGTATTTTTATGAATGTTACTTTTAATTTATTCCAATATTGATTACCAAACAAGTTCGCCATTTCTTTTAAGAAATATGAAAGGGAAATAGTCGTAACATATGTCACAACAAAATTGTTAGATGCAAATGTTTTGGGAAAAATTATAATGGAGTTCTTTAATTGTTTCTACCGATACTAAAAATAAAAATAAAAACCAAAACGGGTACACCGTGTCTGGGGGACAAATACGCATGTTAAATATATAGTTGTTATAAAGTTGATACAACCTAAAATGAATAAGATATCGACTACATAAGGGTTGATAGACAGTTAACGCCCTAATCCTTGATAGTCGAGAGTCCTATTCATTTCACAGCTAAAAAGATACACAAAAAAATTGACATACATTTTTTGTTTCTTTTGTAAACCTTATTAGGCCCTGTTTGAGCCCCATTGTTTGGGAAAAAGAAAGATTTTGGAAAAGTGATTTTTTTGAGAATAAGAAGCTAAAAAGGGGGGGAAAAAATTAAATTTTTGTGTAAAATTAACTTTTGGAAAAATGCGTGGTTAAAAATGAGTTTTGAAAAAAAAAAGAAAAAAAAAAGGGAACTCAAACATAGTCTTAGCATTCTCGAAAATGACGATAACTGCTTCATGAAAAATTTGAGCTCCTGTTCATTCTTTCTCCGATGGGCAGATCCTTAGACCTATAAAGGTACGAAAGCTCCATTTTTCCTCGATTTTGTTGCTTGAATAGCGTTCTTTACAGATTGTTTGAAAGATGATGAGTAGCATGCATTTTGATCCTTGATTTGAAATACATTTATTCAAATCAAGGGTCAAAATGAATGTCACCTTAGTATATGTCGACCAAGTATAATAGTCGTCAGAGGATAATATGGGCATGCCCTCGCGGCCTCGCCCTCGATAATGAGCCTGAAGGAAACAAAAAAATGAGGCAGAGGCTGACTGCACGATGTAAATTACAAACGAGAAAATAATACATTTGGAAGGTACAGGCAGAAAATATAACATCAGGTGATAAGAATTAGACATATTTCAAACGAGTCACTGAAAATCTGATGCTAAGAACGAAAACTCAAAAATATAAAAATGTCTACAATGTCCCCTAATCGATGATAATGTCAAAAAGAAGTTGAAAACTCTTGCGAGAGGCAACAATACATTCGAAAAGATCTTGATTTCTGAAATGCCAGCAAGTTTTTCTGTCTCTCTCGAAACTTGAATTTTTCTACAGATGAAGCAAAAATTGTGACCAAATTGGGAAAAGGAGGAGGAGAATGGCCGCTATGATGAGAATAATAGCAATACAAGTGCATTTTCTCGAGCTTTTCTGGTACTCTTTAGCTTCCTGCAAATTCTCGGTGCCTCGCCTAACAAAAGAGCTCGCATGCGCCACATGGCTTTCGATATCATTCAATTGCTGCCCTTGTGCTTCAACAAGTGCAGCCATGTCTAAGAAAATCTGATGAAGTTCAATCAAATTCTTCTCAATCTCCTTCACAGCATCATGTCTTTCTTGAATTTCTGAAATCGTATCAAGAATCTGGCCACGCCCTTGCTCTTGAATAGCCTTCTGAAGGAATGTTTCGCTTTCCCCACTCGATATCAAATTCTCGATCATATCTTCGTTCGCTTTTTCCCCGGTTACGGTGAAATATCTCCTGCCAACGGTCTCTTTGTATTCTGCATTCATCCTTGCCCTCAAACCCTGAAAATCATCCATCATGTCTTTCAGTTTTTTGCCTAATCCGCTAACTACAGAAGTCCTTGTTCGATCAGCAGAGGAACCTGGACCGCAACCTGGGATCTTCCTTTGAGCTGCATTGGAACGTTCAAGTGCTTCAAGCTTTCCTTTGATAATCTTAACCCGTTTAAGAACCTGGGCTACATCAGAATCCATTTTGGATCGCAATTCTTTCATGGTTTTAGCATTATGAACGATTTTGCTTTCTTCATTTGATTCTTGTAGCCTCTTGTAGAGTTTCTCTACATCGCTCATGTCCTTTTTCACATTCTCTACATCGTCGAAAAATCTATTGAGATTAACAGACTCTTTTCCACCAGCTTCAAGGTCATTCATTTGAACCTGATCCTTCAGGTCTTGGAATTTTTTAAACGAATTTGAGAAAAGATCGTTCATTTTTGCCGTCCTTTTAGTACAAATTTTAATTCCCGGGCGACGGTGGCGTGGGATATACCTTTGTCTCAAACTTTCCTTCTCTCCCTGCTCTTTTGGCATTCAAAGACTGTAGGTATTGGGGGAAGAAGAAAAGGTGACAAAAGCTAAATCTTCATTAAAAGAGTTAACACGATTCAAATTCTGTATATAAATTTACAATAACTATAAGAGAAAATAAGTGCCAGTTACCTAAGGAGGAGCGATAAGAGAGGAGAATACGGTACAATGGCTGGCTGGCTGATTTCCCTTTTTTGCTCTTCACGATTTCACACAACATAGATTGACTGAGGGTCAAGAAACCCACCATCAAATATTAAGCACACATTTATATTTAAATTCTTGGCCTTGAGTTAAAACAACATATGCGATATGCATGTTAAAACAACATATGCGATATGCATCTGCACATCAATATTGATAGGTTAATGTTGGGAAAACACCCCCCAAAGATTGCCCAAGATCAAACAAACTTGCAATGTGAATAATCCCAAACCACTTCAAAGATAAGAAATTGGTGAAGAAATGATTTTTCAATATATACGAAGAACAATGGATTTGGATTACTTGAACAAGTCTCAAGTTAATCCCCAATAAAGAAAAATTGCTTTGAATTTGTACCCAAGAAGAACAACCTCTTACTTGTTAAATTCTATCCAAACTTTCTCTATTTTTCTCTCTCAAAAAATCGGATCTTAATGAAGGGGGAAAAACAGCTATATAAATAGCTGAGTTGGGCGCCATGGCGCCAAGTTTCATGCCTGCCTCCCTTTTTCTTACAATTCTCCACCTCGTACATCATTGGATAGACATCAAATTTTAGACGAACACAAGAAGAAGCAGCAGGCGCCAAACTCGGCTGCATCATTCAAACCATGGTTGCCTACGTACCCAAAACTCGGGATCAAGCCTCCGTAATTCACCTCCACCTTCATATACTCTTCACCTCATTTCAACCCCGTCCCGACGGGCCATGCCCACTTGGGCATATCAACACGGACTAATGTGAAGCAAGTCCAAGCAATGCTGAAACTTGCTACATGTTACTACTTTGGTTAACATGTTTGCTGGGTTCTCATTTGTGTGTACCTTCAAGAGAGTAATATCACCTTCCTCTATGACATCACACACAAAATGATACCCGACGTCGATATGCTTGGTTCGAGCATGATGAACCTGATTCTTAGCCAAGTGAATCGCACTCTGGCTGTCACACCACAAGTCCACACAATCCTGCTCAATCCCCAAATCATCTAGAAGAGCCCACAACCACAATGCTTCCTTCACTCCCTCTGCCATGGCCATATACTCGACCTCTGTAGTAAAAAGGGCTACTGTAGCCTGTAACATCGATCGCCAACTAACTGGGGCACCATGTATGCAAAACACATATCCAGTAGTAGATCGTCGTCTATCTAGATCACCTGCATAATCCGAGTCCACAAACCCTCTTATATGACATGCATCTCCACCAAAACATAAACCCGTATCCGCGGTACCTTTTAAGTACCTCAGGATCCACTTCACAGCTTTCCAGTGTGATTTTCCCGGATTCGCCATGAATCTACTGACCACACTAACCGCCTGTGAAATATCTGGGCGTGTACACACCATGTCATACATCAAACTGCCAACTGCACTAGCATAAGGTACACGATCCATGCGTACCTTTTCTTCCGTTGTAGTAGGAGATTATTTACCAGAGAGCCTGAAATGTGGAGCCAATGGAGTCACCACCGACTTTGCACCTTGCAACCTGAACCTAGCAATAACCCGCTCAATGTAGCCTTTCTGACTCAAGAACATTCGCCGGTTCGTCCTTTCTCTTCTAATCTCCATACCCAGTATTTTCCTAGCAGCCCCCATATCTTTCATCTCAAACTCTTTATCAAGTTGAGATTTCAACCTATCTATCTCCACCTTACTTTTCGAAGCGATAAGCATGTCATCCACATACAAAATAAGATAGATATAGTTACCTCCCCGAAGTTTTTGAATATAAACACAACAGTCATACTCACTCCTGGAGAAACCATGCTTTAGCATGAAGGAGTCAAATCGCTTGTACCACTGCCGAGGAGATTGCTTCAATCCATATAGTGATTTTCTCAAGTGACATACCTGACGTTCTTTATCCTCAACCTTGTAGCCCTCAGGTTGATGCATATAGATTTCCTCATCCAAGTTCCTGTGCAAGAAGGCGGTTTTGACATCGAGTTGTTCCAACTCAAGATCATGATGAGCAACAATACTCAATAGCACCCGAATGGAAGTATGCTTGACCACCAGAGAAAAGATCTCATTGTAATCAACTCCCTCTCTTTGTGCAAACCCCTTAGCCACTAACCTTGCTTTGAATCTTGTACCACCGAGCTTGGTATGATCCTCTTTCTTTTTGGTTCTTGTAAAGTGATTCCATCTCTTCTTCCATTGCTGCCAACCAACTCTCACTATTGTTGTTTAAAATAGTTTCCTTGAAAGTGGCAGGCTCATCATCCTCCACCGAGAGTGCATACTCAACCAAATTTGTCTACCCATAGTGCCTCAAAGGCTCGTCTGACCCCAACTTTAGAACTTGCTTGTAAGTGCGTCGTGGCCTTGAGGAAGCCAAATTATCTGCAAGCTGTTGTTGTTGCTGTGCCTGTACATTCTCTTGCTGAATCGCCTCTTGTTCAAGCTCATCATCACTCTCATCTTGAGTGTTTGCATGATGCTCCTCTTGGACACGACTAGAACCAAGTTGATCTTTAGGTTATATGTCAACAACTTGAGACTTTGTAGTCTCAACATCATCACCACCGGGCACTGTAACTTTCAACGAAGCTATCATGGAGTTCTCATCAAAAGTAACATCTCTGCTGATTATAAACTTAGAATCCTCTACACACCATAAGCGATAGCCTTTTACACCTGCTGCATACCCCAAGAATATAGCCTTCTTGGCCCTCGCATCAAGCTTTCCCTCGTTGACGTGTTAGTAGGCTGTGCATCCGAATATTCTGAGTTTCTTATAATCTGCATGTTCTCCTGTCAATACCCTATAAGGTACATCTCCATCTAATCTTGAATGTGGAGACCGGTTCACTATGTAGCAAGTATTTGCAACCGACTCTGCCCACCATTCTCTGCCCAAACCAGCATAGGATCGCATACACATCGATTTCTCTCGAAATGTGTGATTCAGTCTTTCTGCGACCCCATTCTGTTGCGGTGTATTCCTAACTGTCCAATGTCTCGCAATGCCTTCCTTACCACAGAACTCCTTGAAAGCACCATCTGTATACTCAGTACCGTTATTAGATCGCAGTGTCTTCAATTTCTTTCCTGTTCTGTTCTCAACCATTGCTTTCCACTTCTTGAAAGTGTCGAATACCTCATTCTTATACTTCAAAAAATAAATCCAAGCATATCTAGAATAATCATCAACAAATATAACAAAATACCTGGAACCGCCTTTGGAAGTGATAGAAGCCGGATCCCATACATCCGTGTGCACATAGTCTAGAATACCTCTGCTTCTATATTTGCTTGGCTATAACTGAACTCGGTGTGCTTTACCATACACACAATGCTCGCAAAAATCCATGCAAGGCTTCTTCAAGTTCTTTAGCAAACCTTTCTTGACTAGCAGATCTAGCCCCTTTTCAGACATATGCCCAAACTTCCTATGCCATAGCCGGGTGCACTCACATGGGTCTCCACCACTTCCACTTGTTCCAACCGCTACATCTTCTGTAACTGTAGTACCCTGAAGAGCGTAGAGATTTCCTTCACGAATACCCTTCATCATAATCAAAGAACCACGAACAACCTTCTTTACTCCATTCCATGTTACAATCTTGCAACTACCGGAGTCTAAAGCACCAACAGAGATAAGGTTCTTCCGCAAATCAGGAACATGTCTAACATCCATCAATGTTCTAACCACTCCATCAAACATCTTGATTCTAATTGAACCGAGCCCCACCATTTTACAAGAATGGTTATTACCCATCAACATGGTTCCACCATCAATGCTTCTATAGGTAGTAAACCACTTCCTATTTGGACACATATGGTAAGAGCATCCAGAATCAAGAATCCACTTACCGGAGATTTCTTCATTACAAGCGATGGTGTAGCACTCATCGCTTTCCCCTCCTTCCGAGGCATAGCTAACCTCTTGCTTGACTTGCACCTTCCCGTTGTTGTTGTTCTTATTGTTCTTCTTCCAACCCCTTTTGTTAGTACAATTTGCCTTGAAATGCCCAACCTCGCCACATTTGAAACAAGTCATTTCCGCAAGAGGTCTAGAACTCGATCTAGATTTTTCTCCCTTACCCTTTGGTCGCACACTGCTTCTACCTCTTACAAACAATCATTGAGCTTGCTCCTTGTTACCAATGGTAGACATGCCACTAGTTGCAATCTTTCGAAGATCATCAGTCAGAAGTGACGTTCTAGTGTCCTCCATCACAAGTTTATCACCCACAAGCATCAATATTTGTACTAGGTTCTCGTAAGACTTGGGCAATGAAAGAAGTAGTAGAAGTGCTTGATCCTCATTGTCTACTTTCACATCAATGTCCTTCAAGTTCGATATGCACCTATCAAACTCGTTGACGTACTCCCGGATTGGTGTACCTTCATCCATCTTGCAAGTATACAATTTGGACTTCAAATAGATCCAATTAGTTAGAGTCTTCATCATGAAGTTCGTCTCCAACTTTGTCCACACCTCCGCCGCCTTTTCCACACCATCAACCAAGAAAGCAACATCTCTTTCAAGACATAGAATGATAGACGCTCGTGCCTCAAGATCTAGCTCTTCCCAATCCTCGTTAGACATATCTATATGCTTCTTCTCCTTTCCCACCAATGCCTTGTGCAACTTTTGAGAAATTAACAAATTTTTCATTTGCATTCTCCAATATGAGAAATCATTCTTCCCATTGAATTTCTCTATCTCATACTTCCCTATCTTCACCGTTCCTCTAGTAGACATGATTTATCTACTTGTTTACCGGAAATAAACCAACAAAGTTCACTTGAAAATTTTCACAAACACCTTGTGTGCACAACAAAGTTTAAGCCACCCACCAAAAATCGAAGCTTAACCACCCTGATTTAAGAAGAAGCTCTGATAC